ATACACAATATAAATTACAGAATAAAACTGTACGAAAGATTTCGGTGCAATGTTGTCAACCTCAGCCTGTTACTAGTGTCAACATGTTAGTTGTTAGCAGAGGTGGGCAGTAGCGTGCTACATGTAGCGGCCGCTACATTTTCGGTAGCAGTAGCGGCGCTACATTTAAGCAATTGTAACGGTAGCGGTAGTGCCCGCTACATTTAGAGCATGTAGCGGTAGGTAACCACTAACCACTACCTGGGGACACTCCATGGTCAGGAAGATGTGCCAGGTGCGCGGGAATTTATTTTGTCATTTTAACAACCTGCTCGGTGCGCCGTACTATGCTGGTGAAAAAATGCGCCGTGTGCCGTACTTTAGAAAGCTAAAATAGTTCTACTATTTTAGTCGACAATATACGCGAGTATATTGACTACGCGAGTCGAACTGACAATAATAAAATGTAAGACATGTCCGGGTTACTTCTGACTGACTGACTCTTCTGCTTGTCAGCCTTGTCGGATACGGAACGTACGGTAATCGTAAACTGCGGCTATTATACATACGAAATGTAAACAGACGGTGTTCAGTGTTGCCATATGGGGTAAACACGGTACATTCCGACACATTAAGGACGCATTGAGAAATGAAAAACTATAAAAAAAACCGTATGCGTTACGTAAGTTCTGTTGCCTCCACGTGACTCTCAAAACACTTCACCATGCGTCAGCAACGATGAAACGTCACAAAATGTTGCCATATTTATTAAAAAGCCTTTAGAATGGAAACCTACCAAATCCCTATATTCCGTCACTGTGTGTGGCAATATTCGACACGTGGTAAGTCGTACTGCGTCAGCGCTTCAAATTTAACTGATACGTAATGCCGACATCAACATATTCGAATTCCGTTCACTGTGTGAGCTGTATTGGGATACAACACAGCTTTGAATTAGAACACTAACGAATATTGAACACTACTTAATTACGTTTTAATTAACAGCTATTAGGCTTTTAATTAAGCAAATTTCAATTTTTGTACAAAGCTTGGAACGATCTGTGTGTGTCCAATTCAAGTTGTGTCGG